CTAGAAGACTATTTAGAAAATGTTTGTTTGTGCTAACATGTGTTTTTTAGGAAAACATGGAAGAGAAATAATGATCCTTCCTTGGTAGGGGGTATTTTTTGGGCAGGGATGTGTGCGTCTATATGTGTGTTTCAGGATCCGTTTTTTCACAACAAAATTTGCATCTGTCGTTTGCAAAATCAGTAGAGCATGCTCATGGTCGAAAAATGGCATCCAGAAACAGTCTTGCTAGGTTTAAAATTACCAGCTCTACTATATCTTAGCTGTATAATCTTGGACCAAATTGTGGTTCTCACTGAAAAACTTAGTATTCTCATCTGTAAAAGGAGCATAATAAGATCTTTTTCAGAGTGATGATTTGAAGATTAAATGAGATGATTCCTAGGAAGCACTTAGCATGGGGCCTGGCACAGAAGTTACAATATTTAAAATAATCTAAAATTAATCTTACTTTTTCAGATGCCACACAAATCTATGTTGCAGTACCTATGTTTGCAGGGTTGTGCTCCTGTTGAAGTGTGTGAAAGCAATTAGACCCCTGGGATATTTGCATATAAACATGAACTGACATATTTAAAATAATGTGTTTGTCAAGTTGTATTCCTTGTTATTTGGATGAAGAAATAAGCATTTGTCCCAAGGAAGGACGTCCTCAGAGACTAATTAAAGAACCACTTGTGGGGCATAACCTTTGAAATGACTTAATCTGCGGACAGTATAATAAAATAGAATCAATATTTTGTTTCATTCTATTTCATGATGCATGTTGGATATTATAACCTAGAGAGCAAAACATTTAAAGCAATGATTGCTGCTACTTCCATACACACCATTATGATCATTTTAAAGAATTCACTGTTCTGGAACACTGTTACATAATTACATTTTAAAATAGCTTATAAATGTTATAACTGTTAATACCAATTAGTTGCTTTGTTAAAATCTTAAGGGAAAATTAATACTGAGAGGTTTTGACAGTCAACAACAGCAGTGAGTTCATGGTTACCAGCTTCTCTGTCCGTTGTGGTCGGTTAGTGACTGAAGCTAGATTTTTGGAGGGTACTGAAAAAACTACAGGCCCTCCAGATATTTTTGTGTTGGTTACTATTCATAGCATTTAGTTTTTCATTCTCTTTTTAATTTTTTTCTTTTAGCTGAAAAAACTTATTCTGGGAAGTGTTAAATACCTTGATATATAGAAATTCTGGGAAATGTTATACCTTGTTTACTCACAGACAGATAGAGTGCAATCCAGAAACCTGTTTAAAACTTAATTTTTCTTTTTGCATTACAAAGTAATATAATTGCAGTTTTGAGGTAGAATTAAGGCTGAGGTGTGGATTAACGAATTACTGAGATATTCTAATCACATGTCAGCTTTTAACTACCTTATTATTTAAATGAGGCAAGACACTAAAACAAGTAGCAAATGAATGCTTATCTAAGTAACTACAGCATGTAATACTTTGTTGCAGATGTTGTAGTGGCATTGGCATACTTTGTGAATAAACCGAATTTAAAACACAAGTTCTTCAGAGTTCTTTTTCATGTATTTTTTCTTCTTTGTCTGTACTTATGTATAGCATCTCAGGGTGGTAGGAGAACAAGTAATAAAGCTTGACATATGAGCACCTCCTACCTCTGCACAAAATATCCATGAAGATGTTTTTTTAAAAAATCAAACTCATAATGCTTCAAAAAACAAAAGATCAAAGATTACTGGCATTGTCTAGGAGGAATTCATTTCATTAGCAGGAATGGCATACAGAACATAGTCTTAAATGCCATAGTTTACATCTATTTTGTGAACCTGAGTCCGGCAAAATATCCAGAGAGAGTAGAAAACAACTTGGACCCCTGCCCATAGAGGCTGGACAACAGACAGTCATCACACCAAGGAGCTGGAGTTCTCAGTCCCCCACTAGTGCATATTAGCATCTATCTATTCAAATGATTTCGGAGACTAAAATGTCCCAAATGTAGTAAGGCAAGAAGGAGAAAAAGATTAGAAGCATGTAGCCTCCTCAGAGAAGTGTGGCAGGAGCAGGCGATAGTAGGAACTGTGCTCTCTAGAACCACGTAGGAAAGAGCAGATAGCGTGTGCTTCTCTGGTGGCTTATTCACAGAACTGGCTGGTCTGGCCTCAGACCAGCCAACCCCCATGAAAAGAATGTTTGCTAGCAATCCAAGGTTTGAAATCAGGTTGGCTACATCAATCTGAATTTGAAGGTCAGGTGGCTAAAAATTCCAACTGTTCTTCTTTGCTGCCAGATGCTAGTCCAGGTGGATCTCTTGATCTTAGTAAGGACAGGATGAGATTAAAGCCAAACCAAAGCAAAATGGGGAGAGGGGGATGGCACTTAAAATGTTGCCCTGGTAATTTAGAAGCAACACCTAGCTCTAAAAATGATTTTTCTTTTAAGTAACAAGTAGACAAAGTTCAGATATGTGCTTAGTCTGAAAGAGAAGGGTATAACCTCTGCAGAGACAGAACAAGCTGAAACAAGGCAAAAACTGCAGAAGTTGGCTGAGATAAGGAAAGAATATCAAGAAAACTAAAATGGAACAAGAACAAAATTGATCCAGCAGTTTTGAATAATTCACTTATTAAATATTTATTCTTTAAATATTATTGATCACTTACTATGTGCCTGCTGTTATAGGCACTAGTGATCCAATAGCAAAAAAAATATATATGAAGCAGTTATGAAAGATCCACCTAAAAGTTGTAAGGCTTATAGTAGAAAACACCAGAAAAATAAGAGTAGAAACAAAACACAAGATTACTAGAAGAAAACTTGTCTAATTTCATTGATTTTTCAGGTAATAATAGTTAAAAAAAATACATTCCCCTCTAGATACCATATTTTCTGATAATTTCAAATTTTTATTTTAAAGAAAAGTCCTAACAATATTGAGGCAGAGACAAAGAAGATACCAACATCAGATTGAAAACCAAATGGCCACAGACTTCTCTTCTACAGCACTAAATAATACTGAAGACCATTGGGGCATTCCTTCTCATTTAGTACTTTATGTGCTATTATTATAATTTCATTATATCAGAAATGGCAGCTGGGGATATAGCTCAGTGGCATTGAGCCCGCGTGATAAGTGCAAGGTCCTGAGTTCAATTCCCTGTACAAAAGAAAAAGAAAGAAAGAAATGGCACTCCTTCTTTTAAAACTCTTAATTTTTTTCCTCTTGGAAAAGTACTGTATGGATTTCTTTTTGTGTGTGTGTGTAAGACCCTTCACTCTTGTCTGCTTTTAAATTGCTTTAATAAGATTCACAGTGTTCTGGCAAGCGCAAGGTCGTGAGTTCAGTTACTGGTACCGGAGAAAAACCAAAAAAAAAAAAAAAAAAAAAAAAGATTCACAGTGTTGATGATGTGAATGGTACTTTCTAGGGCTTTTCAGTACACACAAGCTTACAGGGACTATGTAAGAATGTAAGGCTTCTTTCCCAAAAATTCTGTGCCTGCCAACTTGTCGTGCATGTGTTCAGAAAATAGGAAAATAGAGTATTTTTTCAGAAAACCGGAGATATACTCTTGCTGAGCAAAAAGTTGCTGCAAATCAGACAAATACCTATAATCTATAGGAGAAAAGGACTATTAGCAAACAGTGAAGCCAATTCAATATGTAAATAGATATAGATGAAATATAATGGATCATCTACATGTATATAGTTATAACTAGATTTAATAGCCAAAATATATTCTCAAAAAATAAATTTATATAACAAGTTCAAGGTCTCAATAATGTAAAGTTGTTCTGGCATAAGAAAAGATCAGTAGCCTATACTAGACAAAGCCAGAGGTGATTGGAAACCTACAATATATATATAAAGATGCTAAGATAAGACAAAAAACTAGAAATCCATATGAAGGACATTGGTCAAATTGGTTCAATATTTAGAAATTATATTAAATCTGGAGTCCTTTACAGTGTTCATATATTAAAATACATTATAAATGATAAAGACTTAAAGAAATTAAATCATTAAAATATCAAGGTGCATAAATGCAGTATTAACCATAGTCAGGTTCAGTAAGGACTTTGAGCATAAAAGTAGTGGACATACTTACAAAGTTTATGTCAGTAAACTTGATTGTGTAGTCATTTACATTCAACAACAACAAAACTCTAAACCAATGATCCTGATAACCTGGAGAAATTTTGACAAGTTTTTATCCATGAATCAGTAAGAAATATAGTTACCCTAGTTGATCTCAGTGCATTTACCAGGTAATAGAGGAAAACTTCTCTAATCTCATTCCAAAGATTCTTTACGTGTTGTTTTGGCACTTGTTGTACACTTGGTAATCTCACTGCTGAAGAGAACCGTGAAGTGGATGGCAGTTTGGCAGTATGTATTTAGGAGCCTTTAATATTCATGTCCTTTGAACCAATTATAATACTGCAAAATTTGTTCTGTGGAAATAAAGATGCATATTGTTGAAATATGTTCATTGACAGACTAGTTAAATAGCCATCAGTTAAAAGTGATGGTTTCAAAAATTATTTAATTACAGGTCAAAATGTTGCTTATATAGTATCAGTGAAATAAAAACAACATATAAGATATCTGATATTACTGTTCCAATATAAGAAAATTTACTGCAAGAAAATATACTAAAATGTTAGCAAAGATAATAGGAATATTTGTTAGCCTTGTTTTATGCTGTTTTTATTTCTTTTATGTCCTGCCACTTTTGAGTAGACTGAAGACTTTGACACTTCTGATTTATGATTTATTCATATTCTGTTTCCATCTCTGCTCTTTGCCCCATTTTTCCTTTTTTCTTGGCAATGTCTGCAGGGTGGCAAGAAAAAGAATTTTGGAACCAAGAAATGAGGGACTGGGGAGGAGGAGGATCTGTTTTTTACTCTGTGGATTCTTGGTACTCTGTCCCAGAATATACCCCAGGCATTTGGAATTCTCAGTTGGAAAAACACTGAAGAATGACTTTCCTTCTGCCTCTTTTTATTTTGCAGGAAACACATGAAATTGTGGCAATCAAGAAGTTCAAGGATAGTGAAGGTATATATGTTGTTGTTTTTTTCCTTTTGTATTAAGTTTTTGTAAAGAAAATGTGAAAGAGGTGGGATTTAGCTGGCTAGATCCTATCTATTCCTGAAATTTTAAAGTCACATTCTCAGAAAGTGAATATAGCTTTATCTATTATGATTTGCTTGGAAACATTTATTTCCTTCTATGTGAATCTTTTCTTATCATATTAGAAAGTTTATCTTGTGTTTTAAGGTAAAATTAACATTGGAAATCTTGCTCTAAATGGCAGATAGAAAGTCATCCACACTGTTTCTAAATGTAAATAAAATGAAAATGCTGATTTAAAGTCATACTTCTGCTGTTCACACAAGTAGTGAATGCTGTATGAAAGATTTCAGTATTGGATACTGTGATCTCCAGCTCCTAGTCAGAATTAGAGATACAATGATAAGTAGGAGAGAGTATTGACAGGGCAGTTTTCTATGTGGAATCAATCACTCATTGGGAGAATAAATGCTTCTAAAAAAAATCATACTTGGAGGCCTTCATTACATATTCAGACCATTTCAAATTGAGTACAGTACTCTGTTCTGGGCTTGAAAGTTTAAAATAAAACATTTCCACAGTTCATTAGCTTTTAAATCTCAACTCGTAACCATGTGAAGATAGCTAAGTAGAGAAACTGATCATGAAAATGTGCAGGGCTGTTAAGGAACTCTAGGCAGCATTGTTTTAAGCATTTTGGACAGAGACCTCGGTAGAAATATATTTTATATCCTAACTCAGTGTCCACACACATTCTGTACTATATGTAACTAAAGCAAAAGTGTCACAAACCACTTTATTGTACTAATGTAAGGTACTCTGTTTTCCGTTCTTTCCTGTTCATATAAATGCCTGTCATGGCATCAGATACCTTGATTCTACCACTAATGAGTCACAGCCTGCCATTTGAAAAACAGTGATTTAGGTATAAGAGGTACCGGTATAGTACTAACCTTTATATCTAATCACCATATGAAGTTAGCTGTCATAGTCTACCTTCATCAGCACACATTTGCTAAGCACTGTAAGACACTAGCTTCTGTATTTATAAACCATTTATTGCTCTGATCTAAGAATTAGCAAGCATGAAATAACAAAAAGGGCTTGCTCACAAAAAGTTACAGGATAATTGAGCAGTATTGATGCAACTGCATTCTGATGTGCTATGTGGAGTGTGTGCATGTCAGTTGGGAACTTCAGCAGGCATCGTGAGTGCAGCTTAAAGGAAGGCAATGGAAAAATGCTTTTAGCTTCTTCTGGTCCGGGGCGGGGGCATACTTCAAACGCTGTGCCTGTGGTCTAACGGAAAAAGTAGCCCTAAGCCCACCCACTGTGAAACCATTGGAAATGGACCCTTTGAACGGTGACTTTGGGCTAACTACAGGTGGCCCAGAAACAAACGATGATCTCCTAAAAAGAGTAATTGCAACAATAGATCAAAGCGCAACCTTTACATGCATTTAGAGACTTCTGGTTGTGCATTCATCTTGTAGGGCACATCAGCAAGCATCAGTTACCACCAAAAATAATAATTGTCATCGAATTCTTAAAAAGGAGTACAATCTAGGTCATGTACAATACTGCTTTTTAACTAAGTACCATACTCTTCACAATCTCTGTTCAGTGTATACCAATGTTTAGCTCCAATTATATGATATATTTCACCCATGCAATCAAGAATGTGTACATAGAAATCCATCGAGCACTGAGCCAAGTAGTTTAAGAGCAATACAAGTAATTCAGGCATGGATGCTTTCAAGAAGCTTTGGCCTGTTAGTAGAATTAAGACCTGTAGATAAATTATAAAACAGAATAGAAAACAGTTCAGTGCCTGGTTGGAGTCACGCAACATGGGTCATTTTGAGGCAAAAGAGATTATTTCTAGCTGTGGCATCCAGGGGTGCATGTATAGTTTAGACATGGAAAACATTCGGTCTGCCCCTGTTTCTCTGAATCAACAAAACATTATTCTGTTCTGCCCTCATCTCTGCCAGACCATTATTGTTCCTCGCTGGTCTGTAGTCTTGCCACGCATGCCACCTGCGTACACTACACGTACTTGGAGAGGGACACTTTCAAAACACTTCTTTGACAGAATCCGAAGATGTATCCAGTTATTCACAAACTTAAACTTTGTATTTCCAGTCCTGTTAGAGGCCCACTTTCTCACTGTTTCCAGTTCTCCTTGGAAGATCTACTACTGTCTTCTCCGTCTTTATCATTTTCCTCCAGCCAGAGTAGTGTCTTACTTAATAGAAAAAAAGGGAGATGTGTGGTAAACAACCCTTTTGGAGTGTGAAGTGCACGTAGATAGTTCTGTACAGGGGAGGATTTCCATTCAACTCCTATGCAAACTCTTTAATTCTGAATTAATTTACTGTCTTTAGTTTTAGTCAAGCCTTTTATAGCAAAAATATTATATGCCCTTTGGTCATATAGCTGTCCTTCCTCCCTTTTATTAGTTACTCTGAAAATATTCTTTTGATATGGTGATGGTGATTCTAAATCCAATGTTTAAAATCTTTGTGAAGAGAGTGAAATAATTCTGTATAAACAGTGTTAAACTGAAATAGGATCTGTACCTGGTCTGAGCCATTTTAAAGCTAATCAGATATTCTCTAAGTGATGATACTGAGGGATATTTTGTGAGAATATATATTACCTTCGGGTGGCTTTGAAAGATTATGATAATGTCCTGTCTTGTTAAATTCATATGTATACACAGACGTATGTCTCAAAAACATTTTTGAGAATTCATTTTAAGGTAGACTACTGTAGTTCAAGAAGTCTTTACTATCCCAGCCCAGGATAATAGATCACTATTTCAAATGGCAACCAAAATTTCATAGTAAATACAAGATTATCTTGGGACTTTATATTAGAAACATGAACCTAAAATTATAAAAATAAGTTTTTACTTTATAGGTAACACAGTGAAGTTATAATACCAACTCTGTGTTAGTTCTTAAAATATTGAGTATTATCTTTTTGGGAGGAAGAGCAATCTTTACAGTAAAATTGTGAACTAGCCCAATGAATGACTTTCACAATACAAAGAGGATTATTCAAAATATATACAAAAGATTTTGTCAGTTTTCTCTTCATTTTTTTTTTTATATTCCTTTCTGTCTCCATCATTTTCAGGTTTTTATCATCTAGTTGTTAGCTGATATAACTCTATGAGCGGCCATTGTAGGGACAAAAATTCCTATTGAGAGGAAGGAGTGGACCAGGCATGGTTTCACACAGCTGTAATCCCTCTACTTGGGATGCTGAGACAGGAGATTCACAAATTTGGCCAGCCAAAATTTCCAACCCTTGATTAACTTACTGAGACCCTGTCTCAAAATTGAAAATAAGAAAGGGCTAGAGATGTAGTACTGGGTTCAATCCTTGTAACAAACATACACAGGGGGCGGTGGGCAGAGGGAGAGGGAAGAAAAGAAATGTTTGATGACAAGTTTTCATCTGGTTTGTTTTGAAAACTTCTTGAAATTTGAAGCCTTGGATAGTGAATTCTTAATGATAATCTGAATGAGAGTATTATAAATTTATCTATTAAAGAAGTTGCCACAGAGAAACATTGACTAGTAAATAACTGACTAGAAGTCTCCATTAAATTAGTTCTATTTAAATTTTCTGAGAGGAAAAAGTGACCACATACTATAAAGATACTAGATATTATTTAGTTAAAAGGTAATTTTCAAACTATATGTAGCCTAATTCTCCTACTCTTCCTGTAACTCCAGTCTTGTACCATAAAATATGAGATTTGATGACCAGATGATAATCTTCTCTCACTCTTGTTCATACATAGATATATGTAGAAGTACCTGCTGTCTCAATTTTGTTCAATAATCCAAGAGCACTGACTTAGACCACATAACCTTGGACCAGCAAGAATAAAAAATACGATCTTTTAAATCTTTTCTTAAGGCGAGTCTGTGGTCTAGATTTACTTTTTAACCTACATTTTGGATCTTCCTTTTTTGGCATTGGACTTTCTGATCTTGAATATACAGACAATGGGATGAGGACAGTCCTCCCTATTTTTCAGTAGGTCTTAGTATGTGGCTAGGAGGCTGACTCCAAGGGACCATGCAGCAGTCCATGTTTTATGTGGAATTTAGTTTTTTTCTGCCTTTGTAGCAGATAATATTGCTTGCATTTTATATCGTGCTGCTGCTTATGTTTTCTATAGATAAATATTTTTCTCTTGGAATGGTCATATTTATTCTTCTTAATTATTAGAAAATGCTTAATCATCTATTCTTTTCTCCAGTGTATTTCATTCTCATTTTTACCAAGACACTAGAAAACACTATCCTGATCTCTTTTATTGAATAACATTTAAAAAATAAGTTCATAATCTTGAGTCCTTAAGTTCAAGAACCTGAAGTCTCATTAGAGAGGGTTTGAAACAAAATTTCCAACCCTTGATTAACAAAGAGTTTGATTAACTGAACTTGAGTGTCCTGGCTAGTTATGACTTCATTCTTTTTTATGTCCAAAATGGATCTCTTTCAGACTTCAGGGATTCTTCTAAGATTAGATGACCATTTTGTACATTCATGATTTCATAATTTTTTACTGTCCTTTTACCTGCCCTTCTTCTCTGAAGATTGAAAGGCCCTCATCTTTTTCGGTACATAAAATAGTAGCACCAGCATTCAAACCTCCCTGGCTATGTTAATTGCCCTACTGCTGATATCTTTTCTTCAGTAAGGACAGTCAGAATCAAACATGGTGCCCCTATGGTTTCATACAAGGATGGATTGACTTTTCTTTTTCCATGGATCTGTTTAAAGGTCTGTTTTGGGGTTTGTGATTTCATAAAGTAGGTTACAGCTATTCCTGGATTTCTTTTCTGAGCCCACAGTTCTTTAAAAATAGTGTTACACTAGTTTCTACTCATCTTTAGATTTTTCTTTTCATCACTTATCTTTGAATTTCTTTTGCTTCTGTCATCTTTCTTCTTAAAAATTGTTACCTTTTACCTTAGTGAATCTCTTGATTTTTAAGTGTGTTAGCTTGCTTTACTGGTAAGTCTATATAGGTAGATCATATTTTTGTTTGTTCTTAATGTGCTTTTTTCTACCATGTTGCTTAGTCCTCACTCAGTGGAGTTATATATTTATCTACACATAACTTTGACAGAGTTGCTCCTCCTGCCTTCGCTAAACCCCTTCCGTGGTAACTGATGGTGAGGTCAGTCAGCATGCATACAAACAGGCATTGTGTAGAAGTGCTGCCTCTTAGAGGTGGAAGAGACTTTCAGAATAATCCAGCAAACCCATAGCCCCAATTTACAGGTGACAAGCTTATATGTGATTAATTGAGACTCAAATGCAGACCCAGCAGCTTTGGAGTTTTTCTTCTACCCATACTGTGCTGCTTAGTCGCTTGGGTTTAGCAGTAAGCCAACTGGCCCAGTTTAGTAACATAGTCTAGACCTAACCCTGGGTGTTGCGACTCATTCTCCAGAATTCACTGTGTTAGACCATGCCACCTGTGTCCTTGTGTTCAACTCAGGCTAAGAGGTAGAACGTGACCTTCAGTCCACTCATCCTAAGAGAGTTAACTTTTGTGTCTTTTGTTAACTGGAGGAGCCAGCCCAGGAAGAGAATCTAAAAGGATTATTTCAACTGTGAGACAGTGATTTTTGGTGGGTTGTGCTACCACCTTTAAAAATTGCCCATGGAAATGCTTTGCTGTTCTCTGCTTCTCTGAGGAGAGAAGCATGTGCAGTGAACTGTGCATACTTTCCCCCATCATCTAATCATTTGTTGCCACAGTATTCATCATAAAGTGCAGGACAGCCTGGGAACCTAGAGAAACAAAATTATAGGATGTCTAAATAATGAAGTGTGCATTTTGCTTGCACTTGAAGAGTTAATAACTCCTCTTCCTGACTGCTCCCATTCATTATAATCTTAATGCTCAAGTGCTTGCCTCAACTTTTAATGCCTATGTCTGTCATAAAGGAGCTGGTCAAGTGAGGTTGTTCTGGCACTACATGCTCAGTGATTTAGTGTGCTGCTTTTGGAAGGGTCATTTATCTCCTCCCTTTGTAGGCATTATTAAGTGGAGTGAGTATAGATTTGAATGATGTATACATAACAAATTACCAAGATTCAATGAGGTTTAGGTTTATAGTCAGTAAGACTATAGTGAGAAGAAATCACAGATTATTAGATTTGGAAAAGGCAGTAGGATTTTGGGGAGGGGCATTTATGTCCTGATGAAAGCCTAAGTGGCTTGCCCAAAGTTTCATGTCATGGTATCATTTGGTTTAAAGGCTGATCCCAAAATCTAGATTCCCACAGTCTTATTCCAGTGTTTCTTCTACAAAAGCCATTCTGACTCAGCCATTCTGGGGTGGTTTTATCCATTAGCAAGGTGAAACTGGCACAGATTGGTAAAAATATGAGGTGTCCCTTTTTAACTTACTTTTCATGTGCTGCCTAATTCACTAGTCATTTGATTAGGGATGATATACCTGCTGTATGTATTAGCAATTTTGTACCAGCTCCAGCATAGCTTATGAATGCTGTGAAGGATTTTATATAGATTTTTACATACACACACTCACATACATGCATGTATTCTTTACCCAGAGTACTGTCAGTTTTTTAGATCCTCCCTTTCTCATAGTCACATATGACGGAAACAACTGAGGTGAGAGGTGAATAAGAGAAAATAAATTCGGTTATCTTATTATATGATAAATGGCCTTCTGAGCCTGAGAGAGAAGATGAAAGTACTGTACTTGAAACCAAGAGGGTCACAGGCAAAATGCAGGCACACTAAAAATGTATAAAGTTGCCTTCAGACTATGTGTACAAGGTATATATGAAACATGATAAATTCTGTGTTTACAGTCGAGTCCCAGCTCTAAGATACCTCATTATGTGTGTGTACGTATTCCAAAATCTCAAGAAGTCCAAAATCTGAAACATTTGTCCCGAGCATCCTATAATTGAAAGTGAAGTTCAGAGTAAAGTAACAAGGAATAGTGGGGTAGGGATCTACTTGCTTTGCAGTCTGGCAAAGGCCTTTGAGGAGCGATATTTTAAAGAAGCCTGAAGAAGCCAGCAGTGCTGTAGAGAGCTGGGCCACTAGACTGAGCATTCTGGACACAGGGAACAAATACAAGGCCCTATCACCGAAAACGGAAGTTTAGGGGTATTTGCAGAACTGAAAGACTAAGGTGAAGGAAGGGAAGAGAAGCACGATATGAGGGTTTCTGAAAGTTGCTTTTGGAGACTGGTAGTGGTCCCCAGCTGCAGCAGCTGGGGCTGCTGTTGCATTCTAATAGCCTTCGGATGCCACTTCTTGGGCTCAGACCCAACTTGCAGGACAGCTGGCCTTTTGTCCCCTGGCAGTCCTGTAAGCCTCTTGGGGAGGTACCTCGAGTGCATCTCCGCCCTTCCCCCTATCGGCAGAGAGCATCTGCAGTCGTGTCCTCTTCTCCTGCTGTGGGGCCAGTTTCCTGCTTCTGCCGCCATTAGCTTTTCCTGCCAGTGGCTCTTGTCTTTCTGTAGGCAGCATTGCTGTCCTTTCCTAATCTGTGTTCCAGCATTCTGCAACCACTTCTGGCTGAAGTAGAATACTTTGCTTATGTAACCAGTTCAGAAAAGAATTCGGACTTTATATTTCTTCTTTGTTACAGATTCTCCAGTGTTACAAAGCCCCTGCTTTTATTAGTTCTTTTTCTTTAAACACAGTTTGAAAGAAGATTGGCAGGAGGGGCTAGGATAAGTTTAGAAGCACTCCTGGCTCTGTGTTGATACTCTCTCCCCTCTCTTCATCCCCATTGCCGTTCAGCCTTTTCCCTCCTGTGTGCCTTGCTTAGAAAGCATGCCTTCTAGAAGGCAGTCTTTCTTGCCCCCATCCCCAAACTCCATTTTCTTTCTTCTCAGACTTGAAGACGTGTCTGAATTTGAGGTCACACAAATTAAGTTTTCAAGCTAGGATTCTGGCCCTTACCGCAAACTTTGAGGCAAAATGTGTTTTAGAATTCATAATGTTAGGATTTTAGAATGGAAATGTGGCACGTCATATAGTACCCTGTAATAAGTAGTATTTCTATAGCACAATGTAGGAATAGCCATATTAAATGCAATAAACAAAAACCACAACTGGTCTTGCATCAATTCAGGTTGACTTCTAAGGGAATTTATCCCAAACGTAGAAAAAGTTTTCAGTTTTTAAACTATTTTGGGGATTTGAATTGTAGGTGACGGATTACAAACCTGTACCCTCGTGCCTGCATATGAAAATACAGTGATTAGAATTTCCCTACTATGTCTGAAGCTATCATAAGCACTCATTTCAAATGAAATATTGGCACCTGGCTCTACTGTCCAATAGTCCCTCAGAGTTAATGTGACTTCTGTCCTTCCTTCATGTCTGTGGAGGTTATCATGAGTGAAGTTGAACAGATCAGAGCAGATACTGGTTCAGCATAAGTTCTCCATCCCAGAACAGCTATACCATCTGGGATGGACAGATGGACATGCCACAGGAAGGCAGCAGGAACCCACAGTAGCTGCTGTTCACAGAGAAGATCAGAAAGTCTAAGAATTTCTGCAGTTTGGCTACAAGCTGCATTGTGGATGCCTGGCACATGGCCTCTGCTCACCGAGGTGGTTGACGTGCAGCCCGAGGAAAATAATGCTCTTGTAAGCCGAAGCTTGAGGCCAGCCTTAAAGAATCCCCTGCTACAGATGCTGGTTGCACAGAGGCTCTGCACACGGATATGATTGATTCTCATGACTCTTCTAAATATCTCTGCTCTAGTACAGAGAACTAGAGATAAAATGACACTTGGTTCATATGTTGCATCTCCAAATTCATGTTTTTACACATATACTTTGCATTAAGGAATATAAGAAAATGCAAGCAATGAAGTTCAGGCTGGTCAAAGAAACCTTTTCTTTATATGTTCTTTAATAGTCTACCTGTGGACTTCTTAAGCAGAAGTACTCAAAGTAGAAGGTTAAACTGGGATGTTTTCAGTGCTCTTAAAATTCTGTGAAAAAGTTTGAAATTTAAAATTTTTCTATCTTTACCATTGTTTACATTCTAGAAAATGAAGAGGTCAAGGAAACGACTTTACGAGAGCTTAAAATGCTTCGTACTCTCAAACAGGAAAACATTGTGGAACTGAAGGAAGCCTTTCGTCGGCGAGGGAAATTGTACCTGGTGTTTGAATATGTGGAAAAAGTAAGCCAGTAATTGCCAATGTGCAGATTTGCCTGGTTCTTTTGTTTAGTGCTGCCTCTGACATTATTGAAGAAAGTATTGTTATTTAGTATCACTTTCCGATGTCCTCATAATCTGAGAACTGTAAAAATGAAACTATTACACATAATCATTACAGGCCCTGAAATATATTTGAGGATACTGTAAAATTTAACAGTACAAAGATAATCTTCAGTTTAAGTAATATATTCATTTGGCTTCTGAAGTTTTAGAATCTATGTCCAAGTGATGTTTTTAGACTTATTTTAATTAAACTCAAATTCTCTGAGGGAGAAATGGGTAAATTGATGATAATAGGAGGTATGTATCAGATCCCACAGAAGAGAAGAAAAGCATAAATTGTTCCAGTTGTTTTCAAACTTTAAAAAAAAAAAAAATTACCTTACTAGTAACTTTGGGTAGGGAGCAGTACTGGAGATTGAACCCTGGGCCTTCACACTGAGCTACATCCCCAGGCCCTTTTTGTATTTTTTGGTGGTGTTGTTTTGAGACAGAGTATTGCTAAATTGCTCAGTCTGGGCTGGAACTTGTGATCCTGCTGGTATTACAGGTTACAGGTAGTGACAGTTTTAATGATGTGACCTAAAGGCAAATGTATGCTGCCATAATCAATATTAGGTGCTTGGGGATTTCTTGGAGAGCAGCTGACCTGTGCATTAGTTATGGTCAAAAACTTAACAGTAGAAGAAATTGGAACCAGAGGAACCTTTTGGATGTTTCCTTGATGAGCAGATAGGTGGTCCTGCTGATTTCCTATGCTGGTATCTAATGACAATTGGAGCTGGAAAATTGCTTTAGGTCAGTTCCCAGGTTCTTGTTGTGCCGTAAATGCTGCCGTTCTCATCATCAAATGGGAAACAGTGTTGTCAAGATGACTGACCACTAATGAGGATTAAAATTATTCAGCCATTACAAATTATTTTGTGAAATAAACACTATATAGGTAGTAATTTCATTACTAGCAAAACTTCAAAAATACAAGGTTATTTTATCATTTTAAAGCACTACTTTTGTGTTCATTTCCTCACTGGGAAAGGCAATTTGGTGTGTCTTTCTCTCTGCTGGTAAGTAACAGAGCTGCTACTACAACTGCAGTCTTCTGATAGCCAGTCCTGGGCTTCTTCCCCTGTTCCTGGGGTTGTCAGGTGGAAGGTGACCATCACACCTGCCCATCAGTGCTAGTACCTCATGATTGACGGTGAGCCGTAGGAGGACAAGGACAGCAATGCTTGAAGGCAGTGACGGTGAACCTTTTAAAGCTTGCAGTAGTAACAAACAGCCAGCTTCTGCGTGCGTGCCATAGGTTTCCCACCCCTGATTTAAGGGATAGGAGGTTGGAAATAGAAGCTTTAGATTATATCACCTTAAAACAAAATAGAAACTTCTTTTTCTGTCATGTACAAATACAAAAGTAAGTAATACAGGACTAGTATGACAGCTCTGCCACACAGTAGGAAGCCCAGGCTGCTTCTTGCTTTTTGCTGCATCACTTTTGAGATGAGGACCTTGTCCTTAAGGTCAGTATTGAGCTCCAGCTGTCACATCCCATTCACCAGGGCGTAGTTGAATGGGCACACTATCTGCAAAGCAGAAGGGAGATGAACTCTTCACTCTGGGCCGTTAGGTCCTCACCTGAAAATTATATACCTAGGGAGCAAGGGAAGAATGGCTATCAGGGGACAGTATCTCTGCTACTGCCACTGAGGGATCTAGAGCAGAATAGGAAATGAGGGATACAATTTGTTATCTAGACTACAAAATCCTCCTATTCCCCCCGTGTATTTGAGACCTCCTATATATTTATTAATTTAAAATGGCAATTAAAATGGAGAATCATAGCAAATGATGCATACCTTCTTTAAACATTTTGTTTTAACTCAAAGCATAAGTATACATGCTTTAGAGGTAGGTCAAGGTCTTTTGCTTCTTGATCTTTTGATTGAAATTCTGATTGGTCTTTCATACATACATTATACCCATAATGTACTTTTAAAAGTGAAGCAAACACTCAGAAACACTTGCAAAGCCATATCCCAGGTCCTTCAGTATTTTTCATCATCACCAGCTCCTGACTTTTGCCAGTGTTTTATGGATGTTTTTGATTCACCTTTGGTTAGACGATAATGTGTTTTGTGACTTTCCTTTACTAAGTATTTCAAAGTACTCAACTTTGTTTTCTTATAAACAGCAGCTTTTTAAACCATTATTTCATTAGTACATGTTATAAATAGGTTTGAAAATGAACACAAGTGATTCTTGATAAGTACACAGCCTGACTGCTGAGAACAAAATTTTTAGGCAACACTAATTTTCAGGCTGGGGAAGTAGCTCCATTATAGACTTTTCACTGTCACGTGCAAGGCCTTGGTTCAATCCCTGTTACTGAAAAAAATTCATTTAAAAATAGCAGTGATAAACCCATTAATGTTAACATAAATAAGTTTATGTGTCAACCATTTTTTTTAAAGTAAAAAATAGTGTTCCACAAAAAAGCAGCTAGCTCAGCTTGCATGACAGTCACCCAGGTGCTGTGTTTCAAGACAGTCATTGTTTGGATGGCACATGTGCAGCAGAAGTGCTCAGTTCGTATACCACATCTTGTTGTGTGGATTCTTGACAAGACATATACTTGAAGAAGGGAAATTTAGTAAAAGTAATATTTTCACTGTCTCATCAAGGACACCTTCACTGAAGCTATTGTTTTGTACTTTTACCAGTGAGGGTTAATTGGATTGAAGATCCAGTTCTTGCTAACGTGCCAACACTTTACTCATTGGTGATTTGACCCACCAGTGTAAATGACAACATGGCGAAAAAGGCAAATATCTGAGTGATCAGTATTATTTGGCTTCATGAGCATGTAGGTCCTCAGGCCATACTTCGAAACTGCTGTCCTGGGTGATTGTCTGAAAATGATAAACTATGACTGTGATGTGGGCCTTCCTCAGGGTGCTTTGCAGAGAAAATGGACAATATTTGGTTCATCTGGAAATTCAATGGCAACTGCTAAAGTTGCAAATTAACAGAATTTTGCATCAATTTTAAAGTGATCTATGACTCCAAACTAAAAGTTTTGAATATTGTTAGAAGTACATGGATTTTCATTTCAGCAGTATTTTCTAACCTATTTTAATTTTTGTACTAAGTGTAATTTTTCTAATCTTAGGGATATTTTTCTTTTCTTTCTGCTTTTTAAACATATTAGCCAGGTGCAATGGTACACACCTATAATGCCTGCTAGTTTGGAGGCTGAGACAGGAGGACCACTTGAGCCCAAGAGTTCAAGACTAGTCTAGGCAATATAGCAAGACCCTGATTAGGAAAAAATAGTATCCAGGTCACAGAAATTAAGACTTGACTAAGGTCTGTTAAAGGTACACTGTGTTAAAATGACACTTCATAGATTACAATGTCATATTTCTACTACATACAGTTTTTCTTATTAAATTTTTCTAAATATGATGTTTAAATGTCTTTAGGGGTAGTGAAAACTACAGATGGTTATTATTTGGGGCAGCATAGAGAAGCAATAAAAATGAAATTTCTCATAAAGAAAACTTTGATTTAATGTAGTGTCCTCTTTCACCATGACCTAGGTTGTAGGTGAAATGCAAAACAAGCAAACAAAAAATTGCATGCTGTGTCTTGGATGAATTGTCATACAAGATGCTTTTTAAAATTATTAACATATAATTTATGGGCCTACCTAATTTTGGAGAATAATGGCTCTGTATTTAACTTTTAGAATATGCTTGAATTGCTGGAAGAAATGCCAAATGGAGTACCACCTGAGAAAGTAAAAAGCTATATCTATCAGCTAATCAAAGCTATTCACTGGTGCCATAAGAACGATATTGTCCACAGAGGTGAGTACGGAATTTATGGAATGGAAAATACTAAAGAAACATCAAATAAAGCTAAAATATTAACGGGCTTAGTATTTCTATTTCAATATACTTTGAAAGTATGGGATTGAGAAGTCATTTGCCCTCCAAATCTTTCCGTACCACAAGAATGGATCCTAAATGTATTTATATACTGTGGTGAGATCTCTTGATATAACCAGATCCACTTTAAACTGTAGAAACACCTAGTGATAAAAAAGTATCCAACAGTTACAACTTTGAAGCTTCTTTGGGGTGGGGGTGGAATAGTAAATGGATGATTTCCATACCCTTTTGGTCCTACAGGTAGACCAAGTGATGTAAGTCAACTTAGGATCAGGCTTTATAGATGCTCCTTAAGTCATTGGCCCCCATTGGTACTCACATTTTAGTCTCACTTAAGGCAACAATCTTCAGTATGTATCTTCACCGTCTCATTTTCCCCACGCATTAGTGAAAAGTGCCCGTTGTCTGCAGACTGCAGGCACGATCAACCTTGCACAGAGGCCATGATTATAAAATGTCTTAAGTTGTCCTTAACTACCACAAAGTCACTGGTTGATAGCAGTGAAAAGGAAATTGTTTGCTCAGCATCATCTTTGACTCTACACTATTTATCTTTGTCTGATAATCTTTTTTGCATTGAAGTTTTACAGTAGTGTGACACAAATTGGTATACTGATGAGGCTAAACGATGTTTATTAGAAAATGGCCCAATGCCCACTTCTTATTTTGAATTACCAGATAAACAAATGTTATATTTAATTTAGCTATAAAGATGCACAAGGATATCACCTTAAAAATAATCTCACTTTTAAGGAAAGCGTAAAGGTCATATGAAGAGTACCAACTTCTCCTATTTCTAGAGTCAATAGTGCTCTTGTATTTGACTCTCATAACAGTCTTTACCAGTATTGTCAGTGGTATGGGTAGATCTCTTAAGTCAACTGGACATCTAGTGTCTAGGGTAATGATTCCAATAACAGGCCATATTATCTTTAAGGATGGTAACAGGGAGCTGAGTTAGCTGCATTACCATCGTGAAACTGATTTAAATTTATTGTGAATCTGTTGTTGTGAATTAGTGGTAGAAACCATGATTCTGAAAATTACAAATTTCACTACCCCTGCCCTTTGTCCACCATATGATACAGATGATGGGTACTGTTCTCTAAAAATAAAATTGTGAGATAACTCTCCAAACCGCATTTTCTGCAAATTTGTACCCTTAACTCCTATCAAATCTTCAAAAGATCCATGGAAAAAATTAGAAATCTTAACTTCATTCATATAGTATAGCTTCTGAGTTATTTATTGGTATTTGAAAACCACACAGACAAGCTGAAGAGACATTTTTAAATATAGCAATTATACAGAAGACCTTTCTTGGATTTTTATTCCCTCCAGTAAATATAATGATAGCTACTTACTCTCATGTGTTAAGATACCTTGTGGATGTAAACATTTTATATTCTATCTGCAAAACTTCTTATTAATATTTTGTAAAGTAAAAATAGTTCTTCAAATATGCTGGCCTAGATTCAGTCATTCTTAAATTCTTTTCAGAGATCCAGCTAATCTCTTTAGGAGTTAAAGATGGGCTGGGGATGTGGCTAAGTGATAGAGCTCTTGCATAGCATGCTCGAGGCTTTGCATGTGATCTCCAGTTCTGTAAAACCCAAAAATAAATTTTAAAGACTTACAAGGATTTTTTTAAACTGTGGTCTGAATGTTTCTCAAAAAGAAATTAATTGAAACTTTATGTGCCAGCATAAAAATGTGTTACTTGGTGTTTATTTTTATTTTACTCTATTTAGATTGATTGATTGATTGATTGATTGGTTGAGATAGGGTCTTGCTATGTAGTTTAGGCTGGTCTTAAATTCACTATGTAGCCTAGGCTGGCCTTCTGCTCACAGTGATTCTCCTGCTTGAGCCTTCCAAGTGCTGGAATTACAGCCATGTGCCACCATGCCAGGCTAGTAACTTGGCTTTCACCGCCACCGTTTTCTATTTAACTTACTTTCATGGGGTTTTGTTTTGTTTCTGCTGTTGCTTTTTTGTTTTTGTTTTTTTGAGATGGTCTCACTTACTGTGTTGTCCATACTTACCTGAGTAAAAACCCTCCTGAATACTAGGATTATAGGCATGCGCCACAACATCCAGCTTCTAGATATTTCAAATTAGATGCCATTTAAGTGATGTAACTTTGTCAGTAAGAATTTATACTAATTGGTTTTTAATCTTCATACTCTAGATATAAAACCAGAAAATCTCTTAATCAGCCACAATGATGTTCTGAAACTGTGTGACTTTGGTAAGTTAAAAGAAATTGAGTCCTGGTATTTACTGAATTAATTTAAGCTAACACATATATAGCTTTTAAAAGGCATATTAAATGTAATTTTTATGTTTAGAATTAAATTAGCAGAGGAAAATTCTATTGCTATATGCTGAAAAATTGATGGCTGAAAGAGTGCTGCAATCTCTTTGCTCTGTAGAGTACTATGTACAATTCTTAAAAATTCATCATCCAGTATTTAATTAAAAGTACGTATATACACACACACACACGCATGTGTATGTGTGTGTGTGTGTATACTCAGTGCCTAATGGCTCCTGTTTAGAGTAGGATGAAATATTTTAGAAATTACTTGAGGTTTAGTTATAATCACTAAAGTTATGCCTGTTTATGTAAACATATAGGTACTATGTATATGCAATGATTATCTGTAAAGTCAAAAGCATTTTTAAAATACTCCCATTTACAAACTGTTAAATATTCAGTGAGTGGTAACTGATATATGATATTCCAGCTCTGGACTGAATGTACAGTATAGTGAAGTGTTTTTAGTTATACTATCTTCTAGTAAAAAAAAAGTATGTATTATCTCCCATATAGATAACTTTGTATTAATTAAGTGCTGTTAAACAGTTAAAATAATGTGGGAAAGTTTTTAAATCATAACTGAGATGTTTAGGGCATGGGCCACTTTTTGAAATTAAAGTTTTACCTAATCTATAAGCTGAAAAATAGCAATTTGATTTTTAAAATTTGTTTCATATATTCATGTATCACAAATACAGTGTAAACTTCACCATGTAACTAAGGATGGATCTCCTTATCACAAGAAAAGTTAGGGGCTGGGGATTTAGCTCAGCAGCACAGCGCCTGCCTGGCAAGCATGAGGTCATGAGTTCAATTCCTGGTACCAGGAAAAAAAAATCACAAGCAAAGTTAGATTTATTTATTTATTTATTTATTTATTTTTTGGTTTTTCTCCGGTACCGGGAACCGAACTCACGACCTTGCGCTTGCCAGGCAGGCGCTTTACCAGTGAGCTAAATCCCCAGCCCCTAAAGTTAGATTTAATTAGTACCTAGATGGATTGCACAAGTGAGGAACAGAACATTTTAAGAATTTGCTCTGTAAAATAACCCATTTTGCCCAGTGTAGCAATTAGAAGTAATTGTTTTCACTATATACTTTCTAAGAATTCGAATATTACGAACCTGCTTGCCTGAAGAAAAATATTTTAATTTTCTTCATAATTTTCCATAGGAAATATTGCAAGTAAGTCTTGCTCTAGCCTATTTTTTAAGAAATAAAAAAACAAAAATGAAATGTTGAACACAATATCTAAAAGATTTTGATCGTGACATTTTTAGCATTTCCTTAGCATTATGATTTTCAGGAACAGTGCTGACTTCCTGTTCTTAAGTGCAATTCCCACCCAACACAGAGATTTTGTGCACCTTATACACCATTTACTATGGGCCACTGATCTGCTAAAACTCCAAGATTACTGAAATGTAAAAGCAGGTTGTAAATAGAAGAGAAGTGCTTGTAGAATGGTTAACACCAGAAAAAGAAATCTAGTCTTAGCATTATTTCTTAAGGAAAAGACTGTTTTAATGGGGCAGGAAGTTCCTCTGGGCAGCACCACGTGTGGTATTCTGTGTCCTGTGTGTGCATCCCTAACAAAGGCTTTCTAACTAATTGCTTTCCCTTTCAGAGCATGCAGCTCCTATGTGTGGCTCGAAGAAGCCCATTCAGAAATACAAATGTTTCTTCAAAGTAGCCTCACAAAGAAGTATTGAGTAACTGAAGTTAAGGGTTTGGTTTTTTGCTGTGGCTTTTTGTTTTTTGCTGTTTCGTTTTAGGAAACACTGCCACTTTTCAGAACTGACACACGTCAGTTTTTATCTCTAACTTTAATGTTTCAGTTCTCTGTAACTGTTATATGAACCACGTGGACAATTAATTTATCTTGTTACCTCATTTGTGGCTATGCTTTGGCCCCCAAAACCTCTTGATTTTGTTTTGTTTTTTTTTTTTTTTTTTTTTTTTTTTTTTTTTTTTTGGTTTTTGGTTTTTTTCTCCAGTACCGGGAACCGAACTCACGACCCTGCACTTGCCAGGCAGGCACTTTGCCGCTGAGCTAAATCCCCAGCACCCCTCAAAACCTCTTGAAAGAGTAGGGGACAAAAGTCATGTTTGAATCTATAATATAATTATGATACTTCAGCATGCTTCTCAGGTATTAGGAGATGACAGTAATTTTAACCTGCTTTGTTTTTATCACTGCCAACTGTTAGTTGTTTACATAATGCCTGGAACTACCTATGTGCAATAAGCATACAAATGCTATATAGTAGAATCAATGACCATCAAGGTAATGCTAGTTCGACTGGCAGCTCTAGTGGGGATTCATTTTATTACTGAGGTTTGCATTATTTTTTTAATTGTAGAAAATCTTCAACGTTGCTTAGGCTAAGAGGGCCCTGTGAGCAAGCTGAAACCTCCCAGTGGGAAGTCCCTGTCAGGTCCCAGAAGCCTCGAGTGGCAAGGGGATACATCCTTGCCTGTCAGAGGGTGAAACCACTACCATCCCCTTGTATGCCACTCCCCCAGCCAGAGCTGGACTATTCTTGACCATCCAGGGAGGGCAGTCGGCAACCAGGATGCAGGTCCCAGCATGGGGGCCCCTGAGACAGCCCCGTTGGAGCAGGAAGTCTGGCTGTTCTCAGGGACTAGGTTCATTGCTGTCATTGTCACTGTCAGGTCCTGCAGAGGAAGGACCTGTGAGATGCCCAGATGCCCCTCACACTGCATTATTGCACTGGTTGCAACCATCATGTCCGTCACTTGGTCCAAGGCCTTCCTAGCCACCTTGATGCCACTGACTTCGAGGATGTTATCACTGACTGTCAGCAGCCCTATACTCTCAACCAGGGCCCCATGTACCAGGCAGATGAAGATGCCTGGAAAACCCGCTCCAGGCCCTGGGGAGCCACATGGACGCTCATGCCATCTCAGATGTGGAAACCCAGGAGGTAGTCTAAATGGGGTTTGCATTTTTAGGAGAGCTGATTTAAAAATATGTTTTAAATACGTAGAAAAACATGGGATGACTTTGAAAACAGATTTCTTTAGCATAGGAGAGAGACTGGGTTTGTAGTAAATATATCGTATATTTTAATTAACTTTGAAAAATAAGGACACACTATTAATAAAGTGCCCATTCCATATCAGGCGTTGTGTTCTTTTGATGTTCTTTTGAGATATCAGCACTGAAATATTTTGCCAACATGAAATTATTATTCTTTCAGGTTTTGCACGGAATCTGTCAGAGGGTAATAATGCTAATTACACAGAGTATGTGGCCACCAGGTGGTATCGATCCCCAGAACTGTTACTTGGGTGAGTTACTGTCTCAAAATAGACTGAACTCTACACATCTGTTGATTCTTTATTATTGGCTTTGGGTTCACTGATAGAAAATAAGAACATCAATTAAATGTGTCAGTTATACATTCACTATAACAAACCACCTACAACTGAAATGATAGGAAACAAGCACCATTTAGTTGCTCAGGATTCTGAGTGTCAGTAATTTGCATTCAGCTTGATAGTTCTTCTACCGGTCTATCTTGGAGTCGCTCATGTAACTAGTCTCTTGGAAGGTCATCTGGAAGCTAGTGGATATAGGGGGCCTAAGCTGGGACCAACCATCTTCCATCCATTTGGATTCATCTTTCAGTAGGCTGGTCCATGTTTCTAAGTGTCATAGTGGGAAAATTTAGCAAGAAACTAAACCGCAAAGGAAAAGTGCTTTCCAAGTGTGAAACAGCACGGCTTTGTCTCTGGCCAAAGTATATTTTATAGCCAAGGCCTGATTCAAGGTATGGAGAAATAAATCCCATCTCTTGATGGGATAAGTAACAGTACTTTGTTACAAGAATGACATGCATACAGAAATGGGAGGAATTATTGCAGCCATCTTTGCTAATAATCTTCCACATTAAGAATGTGAATATTCACAGAGTTGGGCAGTCTGGCTTATCAGTTCATTCACTCATTCATTCAAATGCTTGCCAAATATTTATCTGCTATCTCATATCCAGCCACTTTACTAGACATATGGGGTAAATATGGAACTAATTGCCATTTTTCCTTTAAACAGTATAAATCCTGCTTAATAATAAATGTCTATTCAATTTAGCATTGCATTTATATTTTTTTCAGCAACACCTCCACATCCATCCACTTTGTGCAACCTTGTACTTTCAGTAGTCTCTCATTGATCTCTTAGCCCCAAGAAAAGGTCTTCTGATAAGGTTCTTTTATTTCTAATGTATTTTAGCTTTAGAGCCTAAGAAGGAGCTTGTAGTTTTGATTTCCATCAAATAGTTTCATGACTAATTCTCTACCTTCCCTAGTTGTAGTCTTGTCTTTCCTTTCCTCCCCTCCCCTCCCCTCCCCTCCTGTCTCCGCTTCTCTTCTTTTTTTATTAAGACATTTTATTTATATCATTCACAGGTAAGGAAACAAAGGCTTAGGAAAGGTAACTTGCCTGAAGTCACACAATAAGAAGTGGGACCAAACAGGATGGTAGACCCACTGCTTGGTCAAGTGTGTGTAGTCAGCTTGCGCTGTCTCTTGCACGCTTCCTCTTCCTTCCTTCCTTCCTTCCTTCCTTCCTTCCTTCCTTCCTTCCTTCCTTCTTTCCTTCCTTCCTTCCTTCCCTCCCTCCCTCCCTCTTTTCTTCTCTTCTCTTTTCTTTTTGTTTCGTCTTTCCTTTACTTTTCTTTTCTTTCTGAGATTGAACCTAGGGCCTTCACAGTGAGCTACATTCCCAGCTCTATTTAATTTTTTTTTTTTTAAGACAAGGTCCCTCCTCCCTCTTGCCTCTGCCTCTCAGAGTGCTAGGATTATGCTTGTGCAGCACCACACCTGGCTGTAGTATTTTCTTATTTTGCCTAGATTGTGTTTCCTTCCTTAAGACTGTCCAGCAATGGACAAAAAAATCAATCATAGTGGTAATGATGACAAGTATATACCTTGTAAGTTTCATTTCTTTTCTTTCATGTGCCATACATGTATCTGGGAGAGAAGAGAAATTTAATTGTTAAAAGATACTTTTTATGTATAATTGTAATACAAATTTCTGGGTTTCTTCTGAAGAGCATGATGACTATATATGTTTAAGTTACTCAGTGAGGGTTTACATGAACGTGTCTCCAAACTGTTTGGTGGTAATTCTTAGTTCATTTCTGGCCTAGAGACCCTATAAGAATTATTGGCATCAGGTTTTGAAAGTTTTCTTATTTTTTTAAGTAAAAAGCTTGCTTTATCCTGGGAAACAAATGATGGTTTTCCCTTCACTTGTGTGAATGGAGTTTTGGCTTTCTAATCTAGGATTTAGGATTGATTTTGTGTCCATTTGTGTTACTTCTTCTGTATACATTTCTGCATTCACTAACTGTATATTCCGTTTTCTTTTGGGGGAACTTAGAACTTGAATTTATGGAACACTATTTGCCAATGAAGAATGACTATGAACTAAATCATTCTTAAAACTCTATCCAAGGGCTCAAGTATGCTAGAAGGACACATTATACTATGGCTTTGTCTATAAGATGGCCTCAAAGAGTACATGGACAGCCTTATTGTGAATCTTCAGAGTATTTATTGCCTAGTAATACCGATTGGAAAACTGAGATTATATTTAGAGATATGTGATAGCTGCCAGAAGTAAATGGAAACAAGAAACTAATTTGAGCTAAATTGAATATTGCCAATTGAGTGATTGTTAAGTACTAGTTGAAGAATCATATTATTTGTATAAAAATTCCATGAAAATCAAGTGATATTTGGTTTTATGTTAAGAAGTTACGTTTTTATACATTCTCAGGGCTTTGTCTTTGACATTCAAAATAGTTCCAGCTGCATAAATTATTCAAATCAGATGGTAGAAGAAAAAATAGCTTGTCATGGTTATGTGGAGATTTTCCATAGGTCTCTCCACCCAGTGCCATGGAACATGTTTTCTTTCTCTCAGATATAAAAGAAAGATCGGTAGTAGCCTTCCTTCCCTAGAGCATTCCCAAAATATCTAAATGAAGTTTCCTCGTATGGTTCTTAGGTTTTTGTGGGAAGGAAATGAGATAAGTGAAATACTGATGAATTGTTACAGTGAGAGATAAATGAAATATTGACATATTGTTAGTGATTTATTATACTAGAAACATATTCTGTATAATGTTAACAGTGCTTTAATTTTAAAATTTTATATTACTATTATGCCATTCTAGAATTTCATTGCATATTTTTTTTCCAATACTTTATTGTGGCTTTCTCATCTCAAAGCTTGGGTGATTTCTTTATCTGCCATAGAGAGTTTGATTTGAGACTATAGATACTGGGATATAGGTCTAGCACTGTTTTGAGGATACCTAGATTTTCATGATGATCTCTATTTGTAACAACAGCTCTCCTTTTAAAGCCCTCTGATAAACTCAGATCCTACAAGTGAGCTATAAACCCCCATGTAAACTAAAAAATGTTTGAGGGAAATAGCTATAAGAGAGCCCTGTGTATGTAGAGTACAATTATATTCAGGCAGATAATATAATAGAGCTTTGCACTGGCAGCTAGTGGAAACTGTGACGCTAAGTAATCAAAGGTTAAACAATATTCAGTATTTGTTGGAAACACGTAAGTCAGTAGTACATTGTAATAGGTTGATAAAATGTAATTTTTTTGGCGTTTAGAGAGCTAAAATAGAATTACCTGGAAAATATATTTCTTAGAAGCATTTCATTCCCCAAGTAAGGTGTTACTCATCAGACATGTGCACTACATTAGGATTTATCAGGCCATTCGTGATGAAGTTATACCCTGCTTTCAAATTAGTATGTACTAAATAAAAATGGTTATTCAACGGATATCTTTATTAGTGTAGATTTATTCAGTTGTGTTCTGAATTTTTACTTGGATGTCCATGTTTCCTCATTTTCACTTTTTTCCAGTGGTATTTTTAAATTCCTTAAATACAAAAATGTGTTTCAAGTCATTAATCTGTTCAGAATAATTTGGAAATTATTAAGACCTTGTATTTCCTTACTTGCCAAGATAATCTCTCCCTTTCCTTTTCAGAGCTCCCTATGGGAAGTCTGTGGACATGTGGTCAGTGGGCTGTATTCTTGGGGAGCTTAGTGATGGACAGCCCTTATTTCCTGGAGAAAGCGAAATTGACCAACTTTTTACTATCCAGAAGGTGCTAGGACCGCTTCCATCTGAGCAAATGAAGCTCTTCTACAGTAACCCGCGGTTCCACGGGCTCCGGGTAAGAGGTTTTGCTAAAGCCCAAATGGAATCAGTATGGCAGTATTTAACTCATTGTTTATTGCACAGTGGAATGCTAAGCTATCCTTTGAATATTGCGCCTCTTCCCATTAAAATGTTTATTAATCCCCACTACAAGGTTTTATTTCTGAGTCCTATGTAGTATTTATGAATTTAAAAAGTGGCCAGAATTTGAAAGTGGGAGCTGCTAATTTATAAATTCTAATTTTTCAAAGTCTCTTTTAGCATATACATTATTATATTCTAAACCTTGATTATCTTAAACTCCTTCTTTATCTACAATGTTAAGCATCCTCCAAAGATACAAAATTCATGAACGGCTGCTGCCTGAGCAAGCACATTTGTAGTGATTTGAGAAAGGCCATGAATTCTTGTATTATGCAGATTTAAAGGTTCTTGTCCTAGCAATTTCTTCTCTCTTAACAGTGAAACATCAGATCTTCTTTTCAAACCATCATACTGTCTTTCCTGAACTTGTTCACTTTGTAAAACATGTTTTCTGAGAATATGCTAAAAAGCATCTTAGAAAATATGCACTTTCCTCAAATGAGGAATGTTTAACTTACAGAGGCGATTCAGTATAGTGACCAGTGAGGTATAATCTGCTTCTCTCATGCATTTACCCCAAAAATGACTTTTTAAAAGTTGTCAAACACTCTTTTGGGCCAACATATCACTTGGTGGTCATTGTGGGGGCTACAAAGTAATCTTGCTGTCACTTCCTTTCTTTCTCTTAAAAGCATAATTCTCAAACCATGTTTTCCAGCCATTGGTGAAACACTTTCTTTTTTTCTTTGACCATGTAGACCTCAGTTAATTACCCTTTGGAGGGCACCAATGTCCACACATGAGTGCTCAGCACACTCCCAACTCCTGCTGGGCTTAACGGATATGGAGGAAATGAATGAACCAAGGTGCACAGTTTCTCTACCATCTTCTTTCTCCCTTTCCAAAATGTCTGAGTTACCTCAGGCAGGTTTTTCTCCTTCTATTTTTGCTTTTCTAAGCCAAACATTGGCCAAATTTGTGGCATTAATTTGAGTGCAAATACTACGTGTGGTTGAATATATTAGTTAAACAGTTATTGAACATTTGTCATACTAGATTTGGAAAATATGACAATAAGTAGGATTTGCTCTTAATCTAGAAGAAAGGAAAGTCCAATATTCACAAATAAAATTAGTCAGAATTATTGAATTTCTCTTTTGCTGAGAATCAATCCAAATTCCTTGCCATAGCCTGTGAGACCGTGCCTAATCCAGGCTCTCTGGTTCCCTGACCTTGCCTCATATTTATCTCCATTCCAACTCTGTCTCCAGATTCTCTCCATACTTGCCTGTTCTCTGGCTTTCATAAACATTGTAAGGGTTTTCAAGCTTTATGTGTTATGACTGTGCCTTCTTTGGGGACGGTTCCTCCTTGGCATGGTCCCTCCTTATTTGGTAAATCTCAACTGAAAAAAGGCCTCCTCCCTCTGGGCACCCACCATACTGTCTTCCCCACCCCTGCTTCCTGATCTCCCCCATAGCACCCTTCTTTTTTTCCATCATACCGCTTAACACAATATGGAATTATTTCATCTGTTTATTTGTTAATTATCAATGTCTAGCTCTCCCCTGCTAGTATATAAGTTCCCCAAGGACAGACATTGTCTGTGTTATGGCTGTACTTGAAGCACTGAACACAGCAACTAATACTTACCAATGTCTTGCCAATATCTGAGCGATACATCAAGTCAGTCTGTGACGTCAACACTTAAGCTCAGTTTTAGTTCCTTTCTCTCCATCTTAAATCCTTCTTTCATTCTTACTGTTGCCTTTCCTTCAACTATCGGCAATTGCTCCCAAACTTCAGCAGTGTCTATCCTCAAATCTTTCCACATTTCTCCAGCCACACATTTAATTCTATCTCCTTTTTGTTTCAGAACTTCTGTGAGAGTGCTAATAAAGTTTAAACCCCTTAGGGTAGCATTAAGAACCCCTTGCTCTTCGCTCTCCAGCCTGGTCTTCACCCTGTCTGCCCCATCCCTTGTTCTTGGGCCACCTTGCCCTTCCCCCTATTTCCCTGACGAGTGGCTTCAGTAGTGCTGCATTGCCATTTCTGTGGTCTGCTGGCTGACTTCGTCTTGGCCTGGTTAAAGTGGCTGTGTGATGGACTCCCTGAAGAGGGTATAAGCAATCTGACATGGTACCTGGGCTTCATAATATCAACACCAGCTGCAGAGTTAAGATGTTCATACTGAAGTAATTAGAATAATTTATAGCAATTTATAGGAAATCATAATATATAATAAAGTATTGCACAGTTTACTTATTTGTACTGCTTTCTAATAGATCTCATTATAGTTTAGAGTGACTGTGATCATGTCAAACATTCTGGAAAGTTAAAAATCATAGTTGGAGATTCATTAGAAAGGATTTATGGGGGATTTGAAATTTGAAATAGATATTGAAGAGCAGATAGCATTTAGATTGGAGAGGCCACACGAAGGGTATCTTTTCCTCATTTGTCTGTAGTCCTATTTATTCACAGGCTTCTCCATTAAACAATGCGGCCCATAAATGTCCTTCAGGGAGATTGCTACTTCTATGACACTTAGATTTTTGTAAACCTTTATATGTTTACATCTTAGTCTGAAAGTGTTTGTGGTATTTTAATGAAGTTAATTCAGTGTCTTTAGAGGTTTAGCAACATCTTTTGAGAGAAGTTTTTTTTCTTTATACTATCACTTGAGAATGTCTGCAACAGGTAAGTAAGCACACCAGGCCTGTGAGCTGCATTTTCTGTGAGCTGTGTGCTCACCAATAACTAATCCAGTGTGATGTGCCTTTGGATCCACTTAGGTAGAGACTGAAAAATCCATTAGATGTTGCTCTAATTTTGTGCAGTATTTGGAAAAAAGACTTGTAGAGTTCAAAGCCTGGCTCCATAGTTAGTACTTGAATGGCCTCAAGAAATTATTTTACCATCTGTGCCTCTGTTTGTATGTAAAATGGTGATAACAAAGGTATCACTTAATGAGGTTGTTGTGAAAATGAAATGTATATAAAATGGGCAGAGTGGTGTTTAGTAAAGAGATACTCTCATTTTATTGTATTAGCCAAGTGATTAAGAAAGGAAACAAACTACTGACTGGGATATGACTTAAACTTACATGCTTGTTTTGGCTATTTGTTGAATTATCTGATGTTAGAATAGTAGCTTTCAAAAGGATGTAAGTAAATTCTTAAGTTAGGAGTTTGCTTGTCATTTTATTCTAATATTTCTAATACTTTTTGACTTTTAAAATTGATTTTCTTATCAGTGAAATGTTATTTCTGGGAAAATAAAAGGGGGTGATATCTGGTAGCATAAGATATTCCTCAGAAGCAAAATATTAATTAAAATTTACGGGTGTAGGGTCTTTTATCATGGCATGGCAGGTTTCTCTTTCTTTGGGCTGATATTTAATACTCCAGCAACATCAAAAGGAAATTCTGTACCTCCCTTAGGAGAGGTGCCTCAGTTTAGAAAGAGTATAGGTTTAGATCACTGGCCTGGGTGCAAATACAAGTTCTGCTGCTTGTTAATTATAAAACTTTGCTTTAATCAGTTATTTGAACTTTCTGACCATCATTTTCTACATCTCTAAAGTAAGGGATTAATAATACCTAAAATACCTGACACAGGCTCACTTCCCTAAGAAGTCAGTTTTAGCTTTTTGCCTGTGCATTTGAGTTACACTCACATTACTCTTTCTTCCTCTCTCTGGAAGGTACTGTCGTACTTTTCTTCATCGTCACATTTTTCTTATCTTTAAAAACCTAATTCAAATATTATCTACAAGTCCTTTCTTCTATAGACACAAACTGCCTTGGTCTCTCCCTTCTCTGAGCTTCCATCAGAATGGATAGCTGCACAGTTTGGCACTGATTGCTTCCCCAACCACATAATGGATTCCTCAAGTGCAAGGCTCAGCTCTTACCCATATTCTGTATCTCCTGCCGTACCGAGCACAGTGTATGGTTGATGTTATAATTACTCCTCAAAAACCTACATCATTAGCTGTTCTATCTACTAATGTAGCATATTTTAGGATTTCAGTTCTTTGAAATGCTCTTGTATTGATATAGAGGAAATGTATGGTAGAAGGAAATTAGCACTCACATTTGACATCAGGCTCTGCCAGTCATTTACCTAATGTTTCAGCCTCCACTCAGATATGACCAAGTGTGAACTGGCAGAAGAAAGGGTAGAACATTTAAACAAACTTGGTCCTTCTCCTTCATCTTTTTAAATAATGTGTTTGTTAATCTGAAAAAGCAAATTTTAAAAATCAACTCAAAAAGAAAGATTTGAAAATGTCATTAAAAGTATATATGAAAAGCAATTATAGTACAAGGCAAGTGCAAGGGCACACCCATGTAATCTCAGGACTTGGGAGGCAGAGGCAGAAGGTTTGTAAGTTTAAGGACAGTTCTATAGCAGGGTCTAGGCTAACTTGGACTACATAGTGAGACACTGTCTCAAAAATGAATAAATGAAGCCGGGTGTGGTGGCACACACCTGTAATCCCAGCACTAGGGAGGCTGAGTCAGGAGGAGTTACAAGTTCAAGGCCAACCTGGTCTACAAAGTGATCTCAAGGCCAGCCTGAACTGCATAGTGAGACCCTGTCTCAAAAAGACCAAAAAAAAAAAAAGCGTGAATGAAATAATTTGTTAGTTGTACTTCTGTGGTCTTACAGGGTCTGGCTTCTTGCTGCATTTTTCTCATTTATTCTCTATTTTCAGGAGTAAATACGTTGCTGTGAAAGGACCATAAAAATCATGTTTCTTGTGGTAGACCTCCAGTATTGTCAGTAACTAAGAATTGTACTATTTTTGAAATGAACTAAGAAGACAGTACTGTATAGGCTATATAGAGTTTCTGATTTTTATATTTTATTTTACATGCTTTAGTATTCTATGTGTAGACCTAAGTATCGTATTTGACCTGTGAGTTTCTGGTATTTAATATCCAGTCCATTTAATTCCTGTCTAAAATACATGGATACAAAAAGTAATGTACAAATATGAATTTGATTTAGATTTGCACTAGAACAATAACTTTTGCTTAACTGCTCCCTTCTGCATTACTCATAAGCCTATGTACATACATCCTTCTGTCTTAGTTATTTTTCTCATTGCTGAGACAAAATACCGACACCCACAAGTTAATAAAGGAAAACTTTATTTTAGCTCACAGTTATAGAAGTCTCAGTCCATAGTTGTCTGGCTCCAAGGCAGGATGGCATGGCAGAGGAGAAACAGTCCACGTCAAAGCAGGCAGGAAATAGCAAAGCAGCAAGCAGCAGCAGCAAGTCCCTTTATATTCCATCCAGGCTATAAACCTATTGATTGGTGTCACCTATACCCAGGGTGGGGCTTCCATTATCTACACCCTTAATCCTGGTATCACACCCGTAGTCCACATTCACAGACCCTAATTCAGCCACTTTTGAAACTCCCATCTATGACCACATGAGGCTTTGATGGTCCTCTAGATACAATCTATAGTACCTTCCCCAGAGGCTAACATTCCTATGTGTTGTCCTTACAGTTTCCAGCTGTTAACCATCCTCAGTCATTGGAGAGACGATACCTTGGAATTTTAAATAGTGTTTTACTTGACCTGATGAAGGTAGGAGAAGTTGATGTCTGTATAACAAATAGCCTTTTGTTTATGGATTGTCTTTTGTCTATGTGTGATCATAGCCTGCTTTTATCAGTTAAATATGATGCTAGTAAATACATACTGGTGAATAATGGGGGACTGTGTTTGTGAATTAAATATTTTGTTAGAGACACATAATGGTGAACAATGGCAGATTATGTCATGTAAAATGGTGTATAACTTATTTAAAATCACAACAGGATCTGGTAGTGTCTTAGTCCATCTAGACAGGGGCATGAGATCTCTAAATTACTTTCCTAAAATGGGCGGGATAATAAAAATCTGTTAACACTCAAGAGGAGCTCAGGCGTAGGTTATAAAACAAATCTTGAATGTTGAAGGGAAAAAGATTTTACAGTTTTTATATGGTACTTAAGAGCTCTCATAGGCTATATAGAACTAATCAGTGAATATAATTTTTCTCTTTTTCTGACTTGACCTTCTTTCCTAGAGAAATTGCTCTTTCTGGCTTTTTAGACATGTCAGGATCACTTCTACCACTGCGGTCTGACTGTTCTTTCACATGCTAGCCCTGTCCAGAAGAGTTCTTGCTCTGGACTACTGAAAATATCCGCAAATTTCTTTATTCAAGTTTTTATTCCCTAGTAGACATTCAACCTCTTGAGTGAGCACCATTCTTCATATTTCTCCAGTTTTCATTGCAGCCAACAAGTGCATAAGCAAATGTTGGTTGCTTGATAGTAGACCCTCAATTAATAGATTGGTTTTGTTTTATGTCCATTTAATCGACAGTCAAAATCAGTAGAGGCTGCACTCTGCACAGGGCTTTAAAAGATATACTTAGCACAGTTGGAAATGCTGAGCTGCATTCTTAGAACTTTGCTGTGCTTTAAACTCTCTTAATCTGTGTTCCAGGGAAGTAAGTGTAAATAGGTGTGGGGGCAGAAGTGGGGGCAGGGAATGTGGCATTTGGGAAAGGCCATATACCATATTAACCGTTTGTAGAGATTCGTAATATTCATTAACCTATAAAAGCTTTCAGAGATCTTACAGTAAAGAAGCCGTCCCATCTCACTCCACATTTCCCAAATTTAATTAAATATTAAATATTTTTTAAATAAAACTTTGACATACTAATGTTCTGAGTACAGATTGAAAAATGGGATTTAAAAAACAGGAACCCTCAATCTCAAAACTCAGCATAAATTTTCACTTAAATCAGTTGGGTTTTATCAATAGTCTTTCATGCATTCTGTACTTAATGATCAGATTCTTAATTATTTGGTAACTTCTAAAATGTAAATAAAGTAGGGAAATGGAATTAAATATAATCTCATGTTTTCTGCCTTTTGTCTTTTTTTGGTTGAAAATAATTAAACTTTTATGTTAAATCATTACCAAGTGTAATTACTAGTCAGCTTGGTACCTGAATAAAAATGAATACTGATGAAAATATAGCACAGATAAAAGCAGAGCAGTATCCTAAATCTTTGGGTACTTGTACTAGTTTGAATGTTAAACTTTCTAATTTATGTTCATTTAATAATGTTTACTATAAAAGTTTTTTTAACAGTAAGTAAATATTTTTACTGAGACATACATTTAGAAGGTGCTCAAATGATGTCTGTATCTCAGTTAATTTTTGTAATGCAAACATATTCTTATAACCTTACCTAGGTCAGGATATAGAAAATTATTAACACCCAGAAGCCTCCTTATGATTCGACCCAGGCTTTCTACTCCTGTCCTGCTGTGCTCACAGAAACTGTAATTTCTGACTTACCTCACCAGCAATGACTGCTACCTGACTACTGAATGCTGTGTAAATGAATTGGTACTTTTTCTCCTGGCTACTTTGGAAAATGAATTTGAAAAATGAAAACCATCAGTTTTCTTTTCATGAAGAAAAATTATTCTTGTTCCCATTCCCTAGAGCTGTCTTGATAATTTTGTTCACATAGAAGTACCTAAAATGGCCATCTCATTCTGCATCTGTTCCTCTCAGCCATTTTAGTGGGGATACCAGTTAACAGAATTCAAGCTCTTAATAATTTTAAGCCTAACTACAATAATTAATAATCTTGACTATTTTAGTAAAATAAAAATAAATAACTGTAAGGGTGATGATATTGTATTTCCCCATAATACCAAACTTTAGAAACTATTAGCTGGGTAAATTTTATACTTTCCTCATAAAGACTTCATCCTTTAAAGTAATTTGGAAATTAATAGCTATATTTATAAATGTACATGGTTTTTGTAGTACAGTAATTTCTACTTAAATTTCAAATTAAAATAGCACTAATACTAGTAGATGTTTGGCTTCTGAAAGGTCATAGGTACTTCAAATTTAGAAGGCTAATCAAGGGCCAATTTTCCTTTGTCTTAATAGTTGAAACAGTTTTGATGTAGTCTGGTTAAGCTGCCAGTGCAAACAAAATCATTTTACATACCACCACAGTTTTTGTTCTATAATAAGGAAGGAAAATGAATTGAGATAATTTTAGAGTTGTGTCTGAATTAATGTGAATGTAAATCCACTTGCATGTAATCAGTAGCTTGAGTTTCAATAACCAGAATCTTTTGACCAAAAGTGAATATTTTATTATACGAGAGGATCAGAATTCGAATTTTCTGTGGCGCTAGATTGAAAATGGTTGTCTGAAATTGCAGCCTGGCTTGTTGAGAGCAAATGTGCTTTCACTATTTAATAGTGGGCCACAAAGAAGTTAACTATGGGCAAAACTAATGAGGAAAGCAAGGTAGAGATGGATTTGTGAATGCTAGAATGTCATCGTTCCCTCCTGTGAGAGACAGTGGCAGCCACTCAGAGCAAATTTCAGTGTGCTCGTGTTGTGTTAGGCTGTGTAGGTTATATTAAAAAATAATTTGCTGAATTACTTTTCTTCTGACACTGGAGATTGAACCCAGGGGCTTGACACTGAGCTATGTCCCCAGCCATGTTTTCTTTTCTTTATTTTGATACAGGGCTTCAGTGAATCCCTTAGTTACCCAGGCGAGGTACACACTCAGCATCCTTCTACTTCAGCCTCCTAGAGTGCTGGGATTGCAGGCATGCACCACCATGCCTGGCTAGATGTTTACTTAATTTGTAAATAAAAATTATTCTTAATAATAATGATTCGCCTTCAAAAATTCTGTCCAGTTACTAAGATAAATAATATTAGAAAAAAACAACTATAAAGAATATAGTGTGTGCAACATAAACAAAAGGTTAGGTGCCTTATTAAACAGAGAACATTTACAAATAAAAAGGAATAGATGCATAAATAGAAAAATATGAAGACACTTATGTAACTAATAAATGAAAACTATTCAACCTCATTAGCAGTCAAATACAAAAAAGAATGACAATGCTTGTTGTTGATGAGGGTGCAAGAAACTGCCGTATTCATACAGATGCCGAGAGGAGTATAATTTGAAACAGCCTTTCTAGGGGGTAATTTGATAATTTTGCAACACACAGAAAAGAAACCTTAAAAGTTTGCATACCAAAAAGTTCCATCTTTAGAAGTTTATCCTATGAAAGCTTTTAGGTGATTGTTACCACATTAATTGTAAATGAAAAGTGGCTGCCATCTATATCCAACCATAGAATGCTGGCTAAGCAAATCATTGTATGTCCATACTACAAACTTCCAGGCAGTCATTAAAAAATACGTTGTATTATCAGTTGATAGGCATTTGGGCTGTTGCCAAGATTTAAGATTTGGGTTGGTTTTTTTTTTTTTATACAGTAGAGTACTATTCTGCCATAAAGAAGGATAAGCTTGAGATATTTCTAGCTAAATGGATGCATCTTGAGACTATACTCTTAAGTGAAATAAATCGGACACACGTTTAAATACCACATTGCTTCTCTGGTGTGAGAAACTGAAAGTGTAAATAAGAACCAAAATGTATAATAGATATTGGGAAATGGGAAGAAAACGTTCAAATAAGGGAGGGTAGGAGGAGGAAAGGAAGGAAAGGAAAAAAATGAGAAAAGAAGGAAAAAACGGAAACAAAACTTTTGTAAACAAGGAGCGGGAAGAGGAATTGAAGGAAGGGGAGGGGAATGAGAAAAAAAGAAGAAGCAAGATCTATCATGTGCAGGCACAAATTCCCTATGATGAATGTTATCATTACATATATCTAAAATGTACCAATAAAATTTAAAAAATGAAAAAGATACAAACATGTTGTAAGGGCTGAGATGTAGCTCAGAGCACTTGCCTGGCATGTGTAAGCCCCTGGATTTGATCCCAGCACCACCAAAATTTAAAAATACACACACACACACTATATATATATATGTATGTGTGTGTGTGTATATATATATATAATCTGTTGCCAGATTGTTCATAACAATATAATAAGGAGAAAACCCTGAATGTCTTTCAGGCATTGCTAAAAACCAACTAAAGTACATCTGTAGAATTGATGTTCTTTACTGATACGGAACAGTCACTTAAGTCTCTCTGTGAAATGGAAAGGAGGTTGCATGCAGACCACTGTGCATGTGTGCTGCTATTTGGGTAAAAAAAAGGAGGGGGAGATATAGAGCTGTGTATAGAATATACCTATGGAAGACCTGGGCTTTCTCTAGAGGGGAACCTGGTATCTGAGGGACAGGAGAGAAAGAATGTGAATATATACTCACTTAAAAGTTTTTTAAATATTTCAATTGTTATAAAAATGTTTTTGATTAATAAAAGTGGGATATAAAACTTGTGTGTATAATATAACCCGATTTGATACAAGAAATATATATATATATATTACTCAAAAAAGGCCTGGGAGGGTAGCTACCAAGAGGATAATAATGGTGAGCTTATGGGTGATTTAGATAGTCTTATTTTTTCCTGAACAGTATTTGCTAGATATTCTGCAATGACCACTTATTTGTTGTTAAAGAAGAAAAATTAAGACTTTTATTAACATTTAAATTTGAGTTTATAATGTCCTCTGTCATCCTAAATTTTATTCCCTAAGAATTTACTGAAGCTGGACCCAGCCGACAGATACTTGACGGAACAGTGTTTGAATCATCCTACATTTCAAACCCAGAGACTTTTGGATCGGTCTCCTTCAAGGTCAGCGAAAAGGAAACCTTACCACGTGGAAAGCAGCACATTGTCTAATAGGTAAATATTCCCTTTTAAGGAAATACAGATGCAGTGTTGGTCTTACAAGTAGGCGGAGGAGGTGGCTGCTAAAATTATGCAATTAGAGAAAAGCAGGAAAGCCCTCTTTATTCAAAAATATCTTCCTTATGCTTATTACATGATTCAGAACTATAATTAAAGAGTTGTGTGGGTCTGAAAGACTTTGTTACCTCTAAGAAGCATATCATGGAAACCTATGTTGTCCCCGGAAAGGTAGCATTGAGTTAGCACCTCAGGGGGTTTCCAACCCTAAGAGCCCGGAGGTTCAGTATAAATGGCACCCAGGGATGATGATATAGATGGGGACAAGAGGGTTTCTGGAAGAAGAGGGTGCCAGACACATGGGTGGGAATGTACTCTTTGCATTTGAACCAAGTAGGCAGGCTCTGTTTGAAGGGTCTTGTGTTTTTTATTGTTCTTGTCTTAATTGTTGAGTTGAGAAAGAAATTTTTCATAAAAATAAGCATATAAAAAGAATAAAATCAATGATTTCACTTGGTGCTTTTAACATAGCCTTTTAAAAACCTGTTTTCTAAGATGCATGTGCACGCACATGCACACGCACATGCACACACAAACGCGTGTGTGCACCCCAAGAGTGGACTGGTCAGGTTGTCTTTGCAAGCAGACATTCCTCAAATCTGCTGGATACTGCTTTTGCAGGAAGACAGTGTCCTAGGTACAGTCTCCCTTATCTTCCTTCATCTCCCACAAGCTGATCTCAACCTCTGGCATTATCAAATTGTGAAATAGAAATAATTTCTGTCATCTACTATTAGAAGAGAAATAGAAAACAGTAATTCTTACTATGAAGCTTTTAAATATAAATCCCCTGCATTTTTCCCTTCATACAAAAAAGCCTGGCTTTTTTGTTTATTTTGCTTTGTTTTGTTGTTTCTTCTTTTCTTTTAGCAGTACTAGGAATTGAACCACAGGGGTGCTCTACCACTGAGCTGTATTCTCAACCTATTTTATTTACTTATTTTTTTACTTTGAGATAAGAGTCTTGCTATGTTGTCCAGGCTGGCCTTAAACTCACAATCTGCCTGTCTTAGCCTCCTGAGAAGCTGGGAGTA